GCCGCAGCGATCACCCTTGCAACTTCGGAGGGTGGGAGTTGGAAAACGCGTCACTTAAAGGTAAGGCATCGGGCCCTACGTCAGCGAGTCGAAAGTGGATGGGTGGATGTGGTTTATTGTCCTGGGGACCAACAACTAGCAGATGGCCTTACAAAGATTTTATCGTCTCAGCGGATGAATGGGATGATGGAGTTTTGGGGACTATTTGAAGGAGAACCAGGCCGCGATCGTGTCCGACTTCGTCTACTACACGAGCACCAGCAGACGGCAGCAGCAACAGAGCTTCAGCAGACAGCAGCAACAGAGCTTCAGCAGACAGCAACAACAGAGCACGCACTCAGCCACCAACAACAACATCTTGAAGTGAATCCTGGAGGGTTGGGTTGTTGTTTCGGGTTATTGGTGGTACTTATGAACATAGCTAAGGCTAGTGGTCAAAACACAAACCCGGAAATCCAACCCCCCTTGGCTGTCGATTCGTCGTTGGAGCTGTATGGCATTCTGGTGTTGCTGGTGATAAGCGCTGTAGCTGTGTGGGAGCTGGTGAAGAGTTGCTGGCGTAATCATGGTGAGGCGGCAAGGCTGCGAGCCCTACAGTCAGACCAGAGGTTATCTAAGAAGGAAATGCGCGAGCTGAACGGTTTGCTACAACGAGATCCCCGGGATCTCAGATCCCAGGAGAAGGAGAGGATGATTCAGCTGGCAGAGACAGCTGGGGTTGATCTTTCTGGAATCCTGGGAAGGAAGACGGACTCTTCCTCATCGACAACCAGTGGACGCAACGGAGGAGGGAACGAGGCAACGGTGCCTCCTCCACCAGATCCTTATTCGGCCTCGGCAGCCGACGAGGAGTTCTTGAGGAGACGAAGGCGAGAAGCGGGCTTAAGACAGATGCCCCCGCCGCCTCCACCATCTACCTACGAGGACCTTGTCGAGGAGGACGACAGACGTAGAAGGGCCGAGCGACAAATCAGGTTTGCACCGAACCCTGTAGGTAGCGAACGGCTACCTGTTGGAGCTCGCTCGGTTGCAACCCAGGTGGAGATGTTACAAGAGATACCAAAGGTCCTCTATATGACGCCCCACGGAACGTGCATGCATGCGACAAGGGATTGCAGCACCCTGAACCGGTCTACGAAGTTCATCGCCAAGGAAGTGTGTGCTCGATGCGTTCCTGGACAGAAGGAAGTCACGAGGCCAATATGAGTGGCAAGGACCTAGCGGTCCTGCCAAGGAGGGGTGTTGATGCCCATGCCACCCTTCTGTGTAAAGTTACACATGTGGAGCATGTGTGATGGGAACCTTTCATGTGCAGCGGATGGCTCATGCCAACAAGTAAGGCCCGTGAGGGGCCACTATCTTCACTGCAGCAAAGCTTTTACAGCTTAGGCATAATGTGCACAGAAGCTTATGCCGACTGCAGCTTGTGAGTGTGAAAAATAGGTAAATTCGGTGCGCATCCATGGCTGTCGTTATCCTCACCCTGTGAAACCACGTTCTTTATCAGAAGAAGGAGTCCCCAGAGGGGGAGAATACAATCACATACTACTACTACTACTAGTACTACTAGTACTACTAGTACTACTAGTACTACTACTACTACTACTACTACTACTACTACTCCTCCACTACCACTACGGTGAGGAAAGAAACATGAGCAAGCTGTTCGCCCTCCACGAGCACACGCTTTGGGTGCATGGCAACGACTACGAGAGTCGAATTGTGGGCCTGGTCCGGGACTCCATGGGGATTTCGGCCCTTGGCCGACTGCACCTCTGCCACGATGCAGAGGCCAATGCTGACGGGGTAACTCAGCTTCAGTCTGGGTTCTTGGGCATTTCGCAGGATGTCATGCTCATTTATGATGATTCGCGACCGGTTCTTTCTATGCAGAAAGAAGACCCAAACCCAAAACTCGACTCGATGGCCTTACATGGGCTCACACAACAAGTTAGCCAGACCTATTTAATTTAAGTCTTTGTCAGAAATTTACCAATGTAACCGTTTGGTAAACAAAATGCACTAGACACATTCATCGTCCTAATTCATGATAAAGTTTCATTGAACGTGCCTCATGTTTAGTCACGTTGGCTCATTGACATGATGATGTCTTCGCACACATGGCTTATCATTATTCTGATCGTCCACAAAGAATCAAAGCCTCAGCTGAAATATGCCGGTCGGTCAAGGTTGAATCACGACAGATCATATCCGGTCAACCTTGCTTCCCCCCTTCAAACGGTGGTCGTGTCACTTTGCCTTCATCTCTCATCAGGGAAAACTTCATGGAAAGCCAGTCATCGCCCTCCCAAGTCAATCACTTCTCGATTTCATTGTTTACTTCATCATTGACATCAGTGTTCTTTCATTTTCATTTGGGTCATCTTCACATTCATTGCTCGTGGATGCTCATCGTCATTTCTGTGCATTCAGTCTTTCATATCATTTCATTTCATGCTCGATCTCAGTCTATGCAGCTTTCATGGTCATGGATTGTGTGTGTGT